TCCGGGCTCCCCCTCTTCCAGCCCATCATCAAAACCCGCCTCGAAAACACTTACAGGATGGGGCCGGATGAAGGCCGTAAGTTCAACGCAGGGCGGGTGCAGCGGGTGCTGGAGGGGACCCTGGCCAGCACCCTGGGAGCAGCAGTGTACAGCCCCCAGGGCAGCACCCTGCTCGCCCAGAGCCTGGCAGAGCTGCTGCGGAGCCATGCAAAGGAGGTGGTGCCACCCCGCTACAAGCTGGTCTGCCAGGTGGTGCTGGGCCAGCAGAACCAGCAGAGCCTGCTGGTGGCCAGCCGGGCACTGTGGGACCCTGAGAGTGACAGCTTTGCCTCTGCCACCTTCTCCAACAGCTCCCTCTTTGCCGTGGCCACAGTGCATGGGGTCTACTTTGAGTAGCACCTGTCTTTCATTCCATCCAGCCTTGCAGGGGGAGAGGAACCTGGTCTAGGGGAAGGTGTCCCTGCCCATGGCAAGGGGGTTGGAACTAGATGATGTTTAATGTCCCTCCAACTGAAACCAGTCTTTGATTCTGTGATTGATTCTATAAACAGCTGAAATAAAGAGCTCTGGTTCAGCTGTGGCTCATCGCTGGAGGTTTTGGCCATGGTGCATGCAGGGAGTAAGGCAGGGATGCACCTTGGTGCCCTGATGCTCAGTGCAGCCCCCAGCCTGGGCTCACACCCACACCATATCTTCTGCTACCCTGGTTTGCAACAAGACCCAAGCTGCAGCAAATACAACGCAAAAGGCTGCAGGACACTGGAGCAGGCAGCTGCCCAAGGCTGGGCTACAGGGAGCAGCCCAGCCTGATTCCCACAGTGTGAGCTGCTCTTAGGCAGATGGATTACACCAGCACTGGGAAAGGAGGTGGCAGATCACCTTCAAAGCAAGCTCCTGGAGCAGATAAAGTCCCTCCTCCTTCCTGGCTTCATTCCCAGCTCCTATCCCATCACACCAGGTGTCATAGCGCAAGGACCCAGGCAACCCACCCAGCCCTGGGGCCACAGCCCTTGCCTGCTGCAGCTCAGCAGAAGCCCAAGAGCAGCTGGGTTTGGCTCAAGTGCAGAGATACTTGGAAATGAGAGTCTGGCAGCAGCAAGAAGCTGAGGCAGCTCCAGGGCTCCACAAGCATCAGCAAGAGCCAACTCTGCCCTTCCTACCAGTCCCAGGAAGGGCACTGGAGGTAGGATATGGGCTCCTCACCCCTGTCCTGGCTCTTGTCCCCCCAGCACCAGAAGCCCTTTTGTGACTCCAGCTCCAAGCAAGGTGGACACAGTTTGCCCTTACACAAATTTTTATTGAGGTGAGTCAGGAACAGGGGAGCTGCACATGGACAGACCAACAGGAAAATAAATAATTCCATATAAATTAGATACATAAATAGTCCCACAGAGTAGAGACTGCCTTGAAACAAGAAACCCCCCCCAGGTCCCAGCAAGACCAGGGCTTCTCCAGGCAAGCCCTTGTATCCCACCCCGCCCCCCTTTATCAAACCTCAAGTTGTACCAGACAATTCACAATTTGGGAGCAGACAGGGCATGGCTGGCCCCAGAACAGCCCCCTCCTTAGTGTAGCAGCTGCAGAGTGGCACACACCAGCCCACACAGCTCCTGGCAGGGCAAGCAGCACCCTTCACCCCTGTCCACCCCGGGAAGGGGTTTTCCCTACCCCACAGCAACCAAAGCCTTGAGATCAAGGCTGTGTTCATCCTCTCCAGGCCATGGAAAGGGTGTGTGCAACTGGAGCATCACCTTGGGCAGGATAGCCTGAGCCCCCACCACTGCAGGCAGCTGCAAGCCAGGGCACCAGGGCACAAATGAGGCACAGTCAGCCCCAAACCTGGCTGCACGGCACTCACCCACCACCTCCCTGTGCCACCCCAGTCCACTCCACCACAACCAGCATGGGCAGAGCAGGAGCTGCCAGCAGGAAGACAGTGATTGCCCAGAGCCAGAGAGCAGCAAGGATGTCCAGACCTGCTGCTGTAACCACATCCACATGTCTTAGTCCAGAGTCCAGCTGAGCACTGGGATACAGAGTGCCCAAGTGGGCAGCCAGCACCACAACATACCTCCCATCCCATGGGAGGGCAGGGGGAAGACCTCTACATCCAGAGAGGGTCCCCCAAGGTCCCATGCTAGGCCTCAGCCCGTTCTTGGAGGAGCTTGAGGATGTATCTGAGGCGGTGGTGGAGCTCAGGAGAGCAGCCCAGCTCCTGGATGCTGCACAGCTTGTAGGTGTAGGAGTTGCGCTCCCGGTTGATATAAGTGACAAGGCAGGAGTGGTCAGGCTTGCTAATGATCACCTTGGTGTGGTCATTGTAGAAGTTCACCTAGGAGACAGGTCAGGCTTGGTTTAACCCACGCTTCCTACGGCATGTCAGGAGTCAGGATGGAGCCACGCTTCCTGCCTCAACCCGTTCATCCTCCCCGACCTGCCTGGGAGCATCCCTGCAGCATGCCCCACAGCAGGGACATGCCAGCCCCAGCACTGGGACAGACGGAAGTGGCCACCTGAAGTGTCACATCCCCCATAGGCTAGATAAGCTGCAACTAGCCAAAGCCAAGAAAACCTGCAACTAGCCACTCCAGGCACTGGAACAGCATCCTGCACTCAACTGTTTTCACAGCTGGACTTTGTATTTGGGCTGTGGCAGACGAGATCTAACACAGTCCAGGCATTCTCAGTTGGCCTTCTCCCCACAGGGGTCTGGGAATCCCCACTGTGCCCCACACATACCTGGAGGGTGCCATTGCTGAACAGCATGAGCAAGGCTTGGTCAGTCTTCACCCACTGCAAGAGGAGCAGGGCTGGCTGCCCGAGGTCATCTATGCTGGGCAAGTCACCTCCCTTGGAGAGAAGGCTCTGCATAAACCACTGGTCCCACACATGGTACACGCAGCCAAACCTGGGCTCCCCACTCCCAGGACACAACTCTGTGTCCATCTGGCCACAGCCTGTGAGCCAGGAGCCCCACAGCCCCAAGCAGCATGGTCAAGCCATGATCCAACATCCAACCTACCCACAATTGCAGTCCAGCCCAGGGCCCCACACCCACCTTCATGAGATGCTGCTCCATGTAGGATGCAAAGTAGCGCAGGACACTCATCTGTCCCTGCAGCTGCTCAGGGATGGCGGCCACTGAGAATACCAGGTGTTTGCTGTTGGTTGGGTTGTAATGCACTGTCCTGGGAGGGAGTAGATCATGAGCTTTGGGGCCACCCAGCACCAAACCCACCCCAGCACAACCTCCCCTTGCTCCTTCCCACCCAAGTGGTTTCCCCAGAGACACCAGCTCCTTCCCCACCGCTTACCTGTGGTTGGGG